ACAGGACTCTCAGCTACCTGATCTAGTTGAAGATGTCCCTGCTCACTACAGAGGGGTTGGACTAGATGGCTTTTAAAAGTCCAACCCAAACCATTCTATGATTCTATTATTCTTTCCATAGTCTTCCATTATTAACTATGTAACTATTCAGAGCTCTACAAGTCTAAAAAAACATCAAAATAAAACTACCTGATCTAGTTGAAGATGTCCCTGCTCACTACAGAGGGGTTGGACTAGATGGCTTTTAAAAGTCCAACCCAAACCATTCTATGATTCTATTATTCTTTCCATAGTCTTCCATTATTAACTATGTAACTATTCAGAGCTCTACAAGTCTAAAAAAACATCAAAATAAAAGAAATTCGCCCCCTCCCAAAAAAAAAAAAAAAGAAAAGCAAAACAAAACACAACAAAAAACAAACAAACCACCAAAAAAACCCAGAACCCTTCATCACTTTAAAACCAGTACAGAACAAGAAAACAGAAGCACAGAGAATAAACAATGTGCCAATACACATCTGTGTACATATCTATGAAACCAAAGAGTACATCTGATGTTACTGGTCGAAGGATTCCCTTCTCAGCTGCATGTGGGTATATATACAATAAAGCACATGGATTGAACTAATAAATATATTACCTCTTGTGGAGTTACACCAATAGAGAATTTAGTACAGGATAATTATCCTTTGCTTCCTTGATTCAAAAAGAACTGTTACATGTTTGGTCAAATTCACTTTCCTCAGGTCCAGTCTTTTGTTAAACTAACAGAAAATGCTGTTTGACAAAATGCAAAGAAAAATTACTGTTTGACCAAGTAAAAGATAGTTCAGTCATTTAACGGAACATCTTCAGACCTTCACAGAACATATTTGCTGTGGCTGCAGTGTAATCCAGTCTCTCCTCTGAGCATCATACAAGATGTTGTTCTCTTCAAGATCTACACAAAGTCTACCCACCTGTGGTTTTGTAGGTCCTGACATTTACATGAAGAGACTGCTCTCCAGACTAACAGACTGGGCATCGGGTTAGTTTCATTTGCCTGGGTTTTTTATATTTATACTAAATTTCAATTTTTAAATTTAATATCTTCACGTCTACTTAAAATACTTCTAGAACTTCATAAACATATTTGCCAGTCCCAAACCAAACAATTCACATTACTTCTTACTTTTTCTCTGTAATTCTTGTTTGCTGCAGTTATTGTTCTATTTGATTTGTTTTCTCAATCTGTTGACCAGCTGGTTTAGATTTCAGAGAGGATTTCTATCAGCATCACAACACATTCCTGCAGAGAAACCTTCCAATAGCCTTACAATCCAAACAATTTTTAAAAAAAATAAAAAAATTGCATTACTTCTAGAAAAGCTCCATCCATTTCTAAGGAAAAAAAAATTTTAAAAAAAAGCTACTTCTGTACTTCATCCACACTTCCTGCATGTTCAGTAAAATCCACTCCATTCCAGTTCTCTGGACTTTAGTAAAGGCCACATTTTAAATGTCTTCACAATATCTCAACATTTCTATGTTCCTGCCTCTTTGAGCCCTCATTACTCTCTCCAGACTACAACTATAAGGGCAAATGACAGTAGCTTTCCCCACCAACTTCTCTTGGCTAAAACAAATCATTAACTTAATACTTGCTTTCAACATCCAGCACCTCTGTCAAGAAATCAAGACTCAATTATTCATAATTATTCACAAGGAGGTCCTTTAATCGCTTTGTGAAAGGATCTTCTGCCATATATTTGCTTTTGTAACAAAGTAATAGACCTGTGTTTTTCTCACAGCATTCACTGTTAGTGCTCTTCCACATGGGATGCAGAGACACTGGCATTTTTTGATTATACTTTAATATAAGCCAAATATGGGAGGGACTCTCTCTATTCTTGGTGCCTGAAAACTCAGTGTTAGCACTTGACAAAAAAAATGCAGGTCTTCAATTCAGAAAAAATAAATACAAGCTTCTCCCCACTCTGATTTCACTATTTGCATTATTGCTTAGGTAATTCATTTGAAAACCAAACCCAGCCTAGCAAATGTCTTTAAATTGAGTAACCTCAGGTTCAACTGTATTAAAGAAATTTCAGCTTCAGGCAGATCTGATGGAACAGCTCCTTCACAGTATTTTCACCAAGCCCTGGCCTTCATTTTATGTTTTTCTGATTACTCTTACATTGCATTGACATTTATAGGCAGCCCTATTGTATTATGATCTGTATTATCACTGGCTGACACTGACTCTGTACACATTCAGTTTCAGCAGCAGCTAAAGATGTATGGCTCAATGCATATTCCTTGCTGTAGTGGCATTTCTTAGCTGTTAAAACAGCTGCATTAATCAGCAACAAGTTTCCCAACTTTAAATAGATGTGAACCTGCAGGACGTGTGTGCTCAATGCGCATTATAATTCTGACTCATGAGCTGGTAGGGGTTAGGGCTGTGGGCCACTTAACTACAGTATTTTCCATACAAGCATAGCCCTACCCTAAAGGTGTAAGCTATGTGAGATGTGGGTGCTGAGGGACATGGTATAGTGGTGGTCTTGGTATTGCTGGGTTAACAGTTGGACTTAATGACCTTAAAGGTCTTTTCCAACCAAAACAATCCTATGATTCTATCATTAGTGTTTCAGTTTGGAGAAGAAGTGTGCTTTTTTAATAAATCTCCTGATCATGGTCACTTACCATACTTTGGTTCACATCACAGCGTGGTCTGGGGTTGGATGAACCCAATTACTTTTGATGGAGGTAAACTAGAAATGCACCACTGACATTTAGCTACTCGCGGCACGTGGTTCAGAGGACCTAACTACAATGGCTGAAGAGTGAATGGTCTTAACACTCACCTAGTGTGTTCTGGGTCCTAAGTACAAACTGGTTCTTTCTGCAGATCTGCTCATCTCAGTCCATACTGCTTGAAAAATGTAGACAGAGCTGAACATGGCTACCTGACCTCTAGAAAGGAGCAAGCACTGCAGGCTAGCTTGTCATAGAGGCAGTAATCCATTATAAACCTTAGGGCTGGATGGCTCCTATCCCCACCTAACAGAAAACTTTCCTTTACGTTAACAATCATATTTGGCTTTAGGCAAAAAAAACACCAAAAAGCCTCACACCAAAAAACCCCAAAACAAACCAAGCCAAACATAAAATAAACCAAAACCAAAAACCCATCCAGCAAACACAGAAATTTCTATTTGAAGGACATTCTTAACTTTCTTTCAGGTCCTCAGCGCACAAAGACATCTAAGAGTACATGCTCAGTTACTCAGTCAATAAGTAAATAAACTACCTTTCCTTTTACTCATTTGCTGTGCCAAAAAACTGTAGAGTCACTCATACATGTTGCAGTTGTGCGTCTAATATTTGTTAGTCCTTCTTCCATCTGGAGTGTGCACCACTGCTTACCATGGAAAAATCCAGTGTTATGTCACCCCCATATGCTTTTATCTGTCATTATCAGGTGCATAGACATGCACATGTCGCTGCCAGAAGAGCACGATATTTATGTTAAATTACTGCAATAATAATGAAAATGCTGGTATTACATTAATATTAAAGGGATTCCTAGCCATATTGTTTGCTCCATACATTTCCAACAGAACCATTCTACTGCTACTGCAATGCCACAGTAGATAATATTGTAGATACTGTTATTGGTAATATGGAGAAACCATCTATACTCCAGGAATATTTGCTGTGTTTCCTTAGTTGGCAACACAGTCCCTTCCTTACCATTATTTCAGGGCAAAAGCAAACTCGAAGTGCTCACTGAGAGTTCTGCCTAATTATATAAGTGTACTAATTATACATACTTTTCAAATGGTGATAGACTTCAAAGTAGGTAAATTTTAAATTATGCCATTAAGAACATCTATTGATGATGGAAGATTCTGTAGTATCATATTACAATCTTCTACATCGTAATTTTGCTTTCAAGTCTGTATTAATTTAATGACAAGTAACAGCAGAGAATAATAGAGTCAGGAAAGCAAACTGAAAGCTTGAAGATTTACAGTGTGATATTGGTCAGCAGATGTTAACAAAAAGGATCAAAACCGATTTGGATCTAAGGCAAACAATGAGTGGAAAGATGTTCTGCAGGCTAAATATGAATACTGAACCTTCAGAAACCACTCTGTAAACAAAGATAAACACCTGCAAGACTGACTTATCCCCATGTGTTCAGCTACTCCTGAGAAAATATATATGTCATTGAACACTTAATTTACATGCACAGTTATCACACTGCTACGAATGACTTGCAAATTAGTTACTTGCAGTTCAGAGCATCTCTTTGCATACAAAGTAACACCAACTGCAACAAACTACAAACCTGTGCACTCATGGCTCAGCCCACCAATGTCATATACACATTTGTGAAAATCAAACTGCCACATAAGACTTCAGCACACGCACCTCCTTTTCATACCTTGATACGTGCTTCTGACTGATATACCCTCACTCTTCAAAACACCTTCACCTTTAACGTCAGATATTCATCACAAACCTTGGTTCTTCAACATAACCTGACAGTGAAGTCATAGTACAAGCGAATGTATGAAAGTGGATACTATTCTAGCACTACTTTAGCAATACTTCATGTATTGCCCTGATGTCCTAGGTGAGTAGTTTACTTCATAAAAGTTACAAAAATTGATATATCTCTGCTGTAGAATCTGCATCTTGCATTGTCAAGGCCACTAGGCAGATCAGACAGCAATTACAATGCAGCAACACTACAGGAGTAAAAAAAATTGAGAAGAGATTAAAGCTATTTCTGCACAAGTAGCTATTTTTCTTTCTCACACACACATGCAAATAATTTATAAGAGTTGGAACTTAAAGTAAGTATGATGCAAGTTCAGTACTGGAATAAGAAGTTCCAATAGCAACACGGAGACAACAAACAGCACAAAAAGTGCTTTTGTGCTAAGAGGTGACACCTTTAACCTCTCTTTGTATGTGAAGCAATTCCAGGCTCTGCCCAATGTTACCTTTTGATATTCTTCCTTAGATCTCAAGGCAGCTTCCATCTGTTCCTGAGAAAACGTGTAGATGGCCGAGCGATACTGGGTGCCAACATCGTTGCCTTGTCGCATTCCTGGGGAGAGAGAAAACACAGGACACCCTGAGGACCATCCTCCCTACCTGAATAGGCTGCAGGCATAAATTCAGCAGGCCTAAATTTAGGATGCCCCATACACCTGGATTAGCATGATAGGTATTTTTAGGAAGTCTTTCTTTAGTTAAATAGTCATGAAGACATTAAACTCTGGTATGTCCTTTTAAATTACACGCAAATTAAATGTGAGCATTTCACATTTTGATACTTCACACAGTAGCCAAATACAGATGTAAAACCTTAAATACTCAGGCTGCAGATACTGTAATCAAGATACTCTTATAATATTTATTTTGAATTGTGCAAATGGCTACCAAAAAAAGTTTGTTTCATCAATTTAAAATATTCTTCTATTGCAGAAGTACATGTCAAAGGCAGAAAGGTACAAAACATCCTTAGAGATAACTAGCTGTTCTTCTTTATTGAGAAAGCAATGGTCTTGATAAAAGACTAGTATGCCTGTATTGTTGAATTAACTCTAAAGTTATCAGTTCCTACCATCACCACCACCAGTTATGGAGAGAAGGAATGATTCTTACAAAGCTGTTAAATTTGAGCTCCAAAGAGGACTCCGATAGAGAAGTATGCTAAGGAGAGGTTTGGAGAAAGTCTGGTTGTGTTAGTACTGTTACGGAGTAATGCTTAGGGACAGCGACCCTTCCACAATTTTTTTGAGTTTGGGAGAAGTAGAAAACAAAAGTTTATATGTAATCTCTACAAAATGTCATTTGCAACCTACATGTGGATAATGTGGATAGCAAAAGTATATAATATTGCTTATATCTAATACTAGGAAAATAAAAATCCTATTTATTCATAGAATTAGACAATGGTTTTGGTTAGAAGAGGCCTTAAATATCATGTAATTCCAACCCCCCTCACATGGGCAGGGAACAGCTCCCACTAGACCAGCTTGCTCCAAGCCCCATTCAACCTGGCCTTCAACACTTACGGATGGAGCAGTCACAGCTTTTCTGGGCAACCTGTGCCAGGGTGTCACCATCCTCATAGGAATAATTTCTTCCTAAAATTTCATCTACATCTACCCTCTCTTCCAGTTTAAAACTGTTCCCCCTCTTCCTGTCACTGTATCCCCTTGTAAAAAATCCCTCTCCAACTTTCCTGTAGGCTCCCTTACAGAGTTATATACTCAATAACTCCTTGAAATTATATCATAAATGAGTAATTTTGTTACAAGAATTAGCCTCATTATATGTAATCCCTTTCAAAGACAGTTATATGAAGTTGCTCATGTATAAATTTCCAAAATGAGAGGGATTCCACCTACAAAACTATAAAATAATGGGCCAAAGCAAAGGGAAGTTTACTAACCCCTCAAGTGACTAGCCCAGCTATGGTTTGGCATTGTGCAGCCTTGGGGAGTCACACTGGCCAAAAGCTTTGTTGTCTCTCATCTCTATCCAGTCCCAGTCCTCAGGCAGCCCAACCATAAGCCAGATGTGCTGTGGATCATTTCATAAAGCAAACAACAGCCTTAGAGAGAAGCTTTAGCATTAAGAATGAACTGGAGATTAATTTTTGCAATTTTGCAGTTTCTGTCTTTTGTAACCTTGTTCCCAATTATGCATTCTAGAGCAGTTCTTTTTACTTTGCTGTAATAAAACTTATGAATTTTGAGCTTTTCTGGTGTTTTATGTGAACTTGGGTGAGTGAAAACGCTGGAGTGACTGTAATTTGAAATAAATTGGGTATCATCAGGATTTGTCTTTTGACTGCTACTGGGCTAGAGCCCCTTTGAAGAATACCATAAAATCTAAGGACTATGGAGATGAAACAGAGAAAAACTGTAGGTCCTGATACCCCCCTAGCAAAGGGCAGAGGGTAGAGAAAGAGTCGTGGCACTGGGGGGAAAAGACACTATCAACTTAATACTACTCATTAAAATATGATAATTTTTTTCCCTTATGTTTTCCCAAGGAAACAGAAAAAATTGTTTAAAACATAGTACAATAAATGATACCTGGCTGAAATATTTATGAACTAAAAGTTGCAGACACATTTTCAAAGCTGTGCTTGGACAAAAAGTCCATTCAATGACCAATAGTATAAACTTTTTAACTGCTAAAATGTTTACTTCACATAAGAACAAAAAACATGTTCTTCATCCATACTTAATAGTGTGGTCTGCAAGGCAGAGAATATTTTGCTCATTTCTTTGCAAGTCATTTTAGGGTGGCAGTGAGTTCTCGTAAAGCCAGTTCTACTGAACAGTTAGGCATAAATGAATACAGGCCAGGAAAGCATTTGTTTTGCCAGGGTATGTTAATGCTGATTGGCATCTAAGCTTAAGCATTAGCATTCTACAACTGTTTATTGCTTAACAAGCTACCTAACAAATGACTAGGCAGTAGATTACGAAAAATCTCTATCAATGAAGGATCTATAGAGTATGCCAGTTTCTAGCATGTATTTAAAAAAATATGAGTTCAGCATGAGCTTATGTGCACAGTACTCTAGGTGAGAGAATAAACAAGATTATTTAATATATGCACATGCCACTTTTACATAGTAATAGGGAAGCAGTCAGCTTAATTAATTTATTGAAGAGAAGGTTAAGAGGAGAACTGACTCTCATTTACAAATACATATATAGAGATGTAATCTGAGAAATGAGGCTCTCCAGTCTTGCCAAAGTTGCTTAACTAGGCAGAGCAACTGAAAGCCAAAGCATACAAAACTCAAATGGGAAATAAGACAGCACTGAAACAGTGAAGCACATTCCTCATTGGAACAATGCACCTAAAGCCACAGCTCTTTCCTGAGGTCTTCATATCAAGGATATGCATTTTACCCAAAGATATACTAAAGCTCAAAGAGCTGTACAAAGTCAGTGATGAAATTATAGAGTCAAAGCTAAAGAGGATGCCAGATTGTCTAATAATAAAGGCCTCTCCTCAAGCTCAAGGGTTGGCTGGCAGCATTAAACCATCCACTTACTATGGAGAAGACTGAACAGGTATTTTAAGACTCCCAAAGTGTAGCATTAATGTGATCAATCATCTAAGCTAAAATGTCATTTATTTTTGTTTCTTAAATCAATTTGTACCTAAATCTGCCTCACTAAGTATATGTTTTCTGACTAATCCTCAAAGACTATGAAATACTAAAATAAAATAATGTCCAGGTATATAGATACCATCTATTGCTGCTACTGTTGTTATTTGCAATGTTCCGCACATGCGCAAACTTACTTCTCAAGGGTTCAACCCTGATTTTTAAAAATCATCTGGCAAGTATTCCTTGTTGAGATTCACTAAGTCAGCAAGTAACAAACAAGTCAAGAAACTTAATTTAATAAACAGCTGTGGTAGAATGACTGAGCTTAACAATCTTGTCTTTGAAAGAAAATGTACTAAATAAAAAATTACCCTGCTTGGCTACCTAACAGTTCCATGATGTCACCTGTAGAGAACTTTCCTTTCTTTTCTGAAATGTCTTTCTTACGTTGTCTACCATGACATTCTGCCTCTCTATGTTAACATAATACCAAAGTTAGGCTTCAGACAAGAATGAGAAAACACAAATAATTAATTTTATAAAGACTGGAAGATATTATGTACTTTTAAATTAAAATCCAATCTTACAGGGACAGTCTTCTGCTGAAACAAAGAGCCAACTGATTTTTGGTGCACCAGAATGGTTCCTCTGAAGGCAAGAAATTTGTTCTAAATTTATAATAATACAAGCAAACCCACAAATAATCTCCACAGGATTCATGTAATTGACCTTGCCTACCAAGTGTCACATAATTAAATAAGACTTTAAAACATTTATTACTTCAAAATTAGTATCTGTTGTAAGTTGTAACACTGGGATTTGAAAGTACTTTGAATGAGCAGTATCGTTCTTACATTTTCACAGAAAAAGGAATAAAGCTCCTGGCATTATGCATTGGATGGACTGAAGCCATACTTCTTATCCCTAATGATACATTTCATTATCAGATTTCCCACAAAATTCCCTGCAAAGAATTTATTTTTTTTCACCTGTGCCAAACCTCATTTTTAAGAGATGTGTATGATTCTGCTTTAATTCCAAATCAAACCAGTGAATCAGGTTTGTCTAAATATTCACTACTGGAAGAAGGAATAATTCCTACAGAATATCAACTGCCCATCTTCAGAGCAGCGGGATATTCTAGGCAGGGGAATGTTGATTGCTTACAACTGCTCTTCTGCAAGATATCTTAAAGTCACTCTCTGTGCAAAACCTGGGACAAATTTAGGGACAAAGTTTAGGGTAGATCTGTTAATAGGGCATGAATCACATTTACATTCTAAGCTGAAATGATAATCAGGCTCCTTCACAGAGATGTTAAGAAAATATATTAACACTGAGGTATGAGGTCTTTGACAGGAAGACTTTCTTCAACTCTTTCAGAAACTTTGCAATGAAAGAAAGAAGTAAAACAGAAAAAGCCTTCTTTGCAGCTGCAGTGACCAGTAGATACACTCTGAGTGATCTCTAGCCCATTTATCTCCAAAGGATAGCTTGAGGAAAAGCTTCTAGAGGCCTGAAAGCAGAACACCATCTCAGCTGTAGCATCAGACCTGGCCCAATTTGTCACAAAGCTCACATAGACAACTCATTCCCAGTGTTGATCAGAATCTTTACAACTAGAGACAACCAAGCAGACTTTCATGGATGTCCTGGTTTAAGATGATCAGGATAAAAAATGCCTGCAGCTCTACTGACCTAAGAAATCCCAGGACACCCCCAGCTGTGCCAGGCTGTGGCAGTTACAAGGGAGAGGAGCAGCTGTGCCTATGGGAGGAGAGGGAGAGTCAGCTGAACCCAATGGACTAGTCACAGTGTTCCTGCCTATGGGGCTCCATCTGAAATGGCTCCTCCAGAGGTCTCCTTGGGGTTGTTTTTGTTGAGGTGTTTGTTATTTCCTGTTTGTTATTGCTTCTTCTGCTGGAGGGCCTGCATCCTCTTTTCTTGCTGGAGAAGAACGT